ATGAAACCCCTGAGAGTTGAGCGTTAGCAAACTTACAGATGCTTGTGCTCCTCTGACTTCCCTCCCCTCCATGCGTTGCGTCTGCAGTGGATGCTGCGTATGAAGAAAGTAAGTCAAGAAATCTTCAACGGATGCAAGAAAAAACACATTTCAGTATTTCATACTTACCGCACTCCAACTCCTCCAACCTGTCTGCTGCCTAGTGATGTTACGTTCGACCCAGTTTGCTCGACACAGTGTTGATCTTTTGAAGCGCAATTGTTCCGAGACAGTAGGTTCATTCGAGATGAGCCAGGCCTGCGCAGATTCGATCACCGGCGATTGGCGCACAATGCATGCCGGTTAGTTTTGTATCCGACTGAAAATGCGAGAGCGAGGCAGACGAAATTCGGAAGGATCCTTGACATTTGAACAGTCCTTTGGCAGGATTTGATGACGTAGCATCCTTGAAATTCGGCCGTTTGAGAATCCTTCCTTGTTTTTGAGAAACACCCAGTGCTGAATCCAAGGGTATTTCTCAACATCAAGGAAGGACCCTCAAACAGCCAAATTTCAAGGACGATACATCATAGACCCATGTCGATGGGCTGTTGTAACCCAGGGTTCAGATGAGCAAATAGTAAAATACTCTTTCAAACTCAAATAAGTTTAACATGACGTAAACCATGTGAGTAGTGTGCAGCCAATCAGCTGGGCTGCTCCGCTATTTACAGGAAGCAGACACCCTTCTAAGTAGATGAATGGGGCTGATGCACGGAGCGGAGCGGCTGCAGGTTGGTACAAAGTTTTGCTGGCGTTCACTTAATTTAATGTCCAATATGAAGGTTAACAGTCACTTTGTTGCCAACTGCAGATGTCCACTGGCTGTCGGAAGTTACCTTTTAAAAGCTGTGAATACTTGAAGTTCTGTTGAATCTGCTGACACTGCTTGAATTGGTGAGTTGAGCTAAACTTATTGTTAGCCTTTACATTTATTTACATGGCCATATTTTTCTTGTAATATTTACATAATTTGTTTTTTGTTTTTTTTTTGTTTCCTAAATACATGGTACCTATACTGAAATCAACCGTCTCTGTGTCCTGATTTATTGTCCATCAGTTACCAGTTCTCCTTGGCCGAATCTGGTCTTCTGATTTCATTAGCCTGCTTCTAGCTATTTACTGCCTTTATACCATTTACAGTCAAATATATGTTACACTGTTCCAATGTCAAGGATCCTTTCAGAGAAATTCCAAGGATGCATGTGTGGATCCTCCGCGGTTATAAAATCCTCACAATGCTTTGCACACCATTTGCTGGAAATGAGGGCGGGGCCTCGTCAATGAAACCTGCACCAGCGGAGCTCGGCAGGATTTAGATTACTATGTCATTTATTTGGATTAGTGTCTCCAGCAATTTTTATCATACAAGCTTAAAAAAAAATTTTCAGAAACCTCATAATTTTCACTTTCCAATGTGTCCACTGCCACATGAGAGTTTTTGAAATAACATCATTTAGATTAAACAAAAGTTTTTAAATGAATAATTTACAGCAGAGATGGAGCGGTAAGTGTCCCCTCACCCCTCTTCTATTCACATGAGCTTCAATTGGTGTATTTTGGTGGGTTTTTTTTTTTCGGGGAAATGGCGATGAGAACAGCCACCGTAAAGACATTAGAATATCCAGCAGGTCAAAGCATCACTCATTTGTTTTGAGATAAACACATTTCAGGGGATTACACAGCAGTATAATGAACAATCGACACGGTCAGCTGTTTCAGAGCAGTGCGGCTCATCAGATCAGATCTTTTCATATCATTGTAGCAGAGTGTGTGGTGACACACACATAACATATGGAACACTTTGGAATCACGGAGTGATTCTGTGTGTAGGTCTGTGTACATACTGTTAATGATAATTTAGAACGTTTTTAGCTGTTTAGCTTCTGTTTGGTTACAAAAAACATGGGCTTTATATCTTATCTGCAGGAAGAGATGGAACTATTCATCTAAAATCGATTGTTACAGTGCCATTTTGAGTTCAATGAGTGTCCTTTTTTGTGCTAGAGTGTTTGCCGCACAAACACTTTTAGCAGAGCAGAAGAAGACAAAGAAAAAGAAGCAAAATTTCAAACCTGGGACTGGATGAGATTTTGAAAGAAGAAAGAATAACAGTTAAGTCTATAAACCTCTAAAGGCTTATGCACATCACACTGTGTAGGCTACTTGACATCTAATTGTAGGCTATTTGAGCGATGTTTCTTAAACTTATGTGATCAGCTGAATATTTAGGCTAGCTCAGCACTATAGAGAGTATAACAGTCTGTTTCGACTACGCATAAGGTAATTTATTTCTTGAGATATCTTTTGTTAGTTGTTTTCCTTTGGGCAACTCATTTCTAACAAACTACATTTCTGCAGACTAAAGGAAACATGTCAAGAACACAACCTAATGTTTATACAGTAACTGTACAATAACAATTAAACATTACTTTTCTAGTCATAGTCACAACATAGCCTCACATTAATAGCCGACACATCTGGTAAACATTCATTTTCTGTAGGCTATTGAGAGTAGACCTACTTTTAGTAAGTGCTTCGTTTACTAAGTGTTTTGAGGAGGTTAAATGTAAGTGTGTAAGTGTGTGTGTGTGTGTGTGTGTGTGTGTGTGTGTTTCCCGGGGGGGGGGGGGGGGGGGGGGGG